TTCTAATTTAATACATACTATTTTTAGTCACTTGACAAATGCTCTTAAAATTGAATCTTGGAAGTATTTGTAATTATATAGATTATAAGCTCTGTGAAGTCTTACAACCTTTAAAATTTTTGTTTTGTTTGAGTCCTTTGCAATCCCAGTACATTGTCTGGTATACTTAAAGTTACTCAATTTTTTAAAATTGTATTCTTGTGGAACAATCCCCCTATTATAAAAACTAATATGGGAAATATTAGTGATTCTTCAATTCAGGGTCTAAACCCCTTTAAACCTCAGTTTACCTCAGGTTAAACTTTGAATTCATTATTTCACAAATAGTAATAATGTTCTTACCAAGGTACATTGAATGCTACATTTAGCATATGCTAAATGGTATTGTCCCAAACTTCAGTAAACATCACCAGACAGATTTATTTTTCATCTACTGTATGCTGGTATTTTATCCTGTTTAATCAATGTGGGGAAATATTTATGTCACATGTTACATATAAGAAGATTAAGAGGTATTAAATGACTCTTCCAACTTGCCAAACCAACTGAGTCAGAGATTATTAAATCCACATCTCCCTGAAAGCTAAGTTTGCAATCTACCCTTATCTATCATAAGATTTCTAAGAAATAGAGAAAAAACTATTTAAAATACATCAGAAAAATATGATTTTGAATGAACAAATTTTGTGGTAGGATTAGTATACAGAAAATACTGAGTATTCTCAATAGTGTTGGAGGGATTAATGTGGGAGGGGTCAAATTTAGCTTTTAAGGGTGATGAGTGATAAGCAGAGAAATGTGTGTTCACCTTAGATACCTCACATTTCTCACCTCTTTGAGAACATTAGAAAGACTGAAAAAATCATGGTCTCTTTTACCCTACTTTTTTCTTTTTTGTTTTAAGAAGATGAGAACCTATTTCTTACTGTTATATAGATAAACTGTACAAGGAATGGGGGAAAGAGAGAGACTGCATCTCTTCATGAATAGTTAGGATACGTTAACATATATAAGGGATCAATCCCTTATATATGGGAGTATACTGACTGACTTCTAGATGTTTCTGTAACTGGCAGCTAGTAAGAAAAATGAATGTCCTTAAAATTCACCCCTTCTCTTGTGCAGAAAGGTTTTGTCAATTGAGACTTATTAAAAACTCTGTAAGAGAGGCCTGTTATTATTTTAAATAACTATATCAGTTTTGATGATGCTAATAAGATGTTCTGAAAAATAAAATGAGGGCTTGAAAATACTTGGGTAGATACAAAGCTGTATTTAATGCAGAGTTAGTGAGAGAAATAGCTCCATTCTAATTGTGCCTTTTGTGGACAAAATATGATTATGGTTTAAAATCACTATGTGCTTCATGTCACTACTTGGACATTCTTTAGTTTTTTAGTTATTTCATTATCTGCATGTTTTAGTAAGAAAAATAAGTGTCCCCAAAAGACAAATTGTTCCCTTGACACAAACTGTCAGATGGTCTAGTTATGGTCTGATGCTAATAACTTTGCTTTTTTTTAATTACAAGTAATGTTTTTCATTTTCCTTCCAGTTCTACCTTTACAAATGCATAAAAATAGGAATGTTTTTCTGTTTGCATGTTTGTTCATTTTGATTGGTCATTATTATTCTTGCATTTGTTTTCCACTTCTGTCTCCTATCAGTTCAAATCAACTAAAAATATTAAATACTGTAATGTGCCAGAAACATTCAAATAATGGATAATTCTGTGCATGCCCTTCCTTTGTGGCACCAAAATTTGTCACCCTCAAATGACTGTGAAACTGAGCTACACCTTAGTCTTAGAGATCACTTCCTTTCACAGTCATTTTGCCAGTGTGTCAAATCAGTAGTTCATCCTTTGTGGTATCTGGGAGTTTCCTATCACTTTTATCAAAGAAAGGCAAATCATATGAGAAATGTACCAAATTGATATCCATCATAGCATAATAGCAATACATGACACTTACAGATGATGACAGATTGCATTGCAAGAGCTCTGCTCTAGGTTATGATGATTTAATTGCATATTTTTACTTTTTTAACAGATTGTACACACCTTGAAGGGAACTTTGTATAGGCCTATGCAGAAGTTGCTTAACAGAATTTTCAAAGTGCACATTATAAAGAATTGAGTGGAAACATCTAGCAAGGATTCTAGCTTGGATTTGCTTTGTTACCTTTTGCAAACTTTTTGATCTCTTTGAGCCTCAGATCCTTGGTCTCTTAAACAAAGGGATTTTTATCAGTTCAAATGTTTATTTTTATTATTAAGCCACAGATCACTGTAAAGTATAAGGACAAAAAAACAGAGTCATTCCTAAACACCTATCAGAGTGTCTGGAACATTATAGTGTTTAACATGTATAAGTTGAATTGAATTGAATTTGGTCCTTCAAAATTGTGGATGAAATATTGATGGATAGAGAGCTACCTTTGTCAAAACAGAGCTACTTCTGTCAAATAGGAGTGGGTGACATCCCAAGGCTTGGAGACATGCCCAGTGGGTCAGTCCTTCTCTCCTTTTTTTACTTTTTCTGCCCAGAGGTGCTCTGTGCAAATAACATGACTTTAGGGAACATAGTTTTAAAATTTTAAAATAACTAATAAGCATTGAATTCTCCCAATATCTTATGATTTCATGATCTAGACTTGAAGAATTCCTATGCTAACATAGAGTTTGTCAAATGACAGAATATGAAAATTCTTCAGGACATAACATTATGTCACAGAGTGGGTGGTAGGGTAGGGCAGAGAAACAAAAACTTATTTTACATTTCTGAACAAATGTTCTACATATGGATTATATTATCTTTCTATACAGATTTTGTTTCCCCTCACCACAGGCTAGTGTGGGAAGTGTTTGAGCATGGAACATTTTCTCAACTGCTTTTTAAAACAAACTGTCAAATTATCTACTAGTAACTACATAATCACAAGATTTTTAAACTAAGAAACTTATTAAAATAAACCAGTTATTTTGACATCATCATGGCTTGTGAAGTTCACTAAAATTCATTTGATAACCAGAGTTGAAGAACTGTGACTTTTTAACCTATTAATGGTGAACTATTTTGACAACATTTAGTAAATAAGCTGATGTTTTGTTAGTAAGAGAATCAAATCTTTTAAGATCACTTGAGGCATGAAATCAGAGTATTTAAGGTTACTCAGTGATGTTATATTTTTGAGAATTTCAGAGCAATTAATCTCATCCTATTACCCAAACTTTCGTTTTTCACTTTTATTCCCATATTCTTGTTAAATATTAATGAAGGCAAATAAATAATGCATTCAATTAGTTATGAACACAGCAATTAGTCCTAGATGAGGTTGGTCTCCCCAATAAAGACCTTTGTTTTAGTCAACTTTTATTCTCTGTTACCAAAATACTGACTAGGACAATGTAGAGGAAGACAAATTTATTTTAGTTCATAGTTTCAGAGATCCATGGTCAGCTGACTACATTGCTCAGAGATTCAGTCCATGGTCAGCTGACACCATTGCTCTGGGTCTGATGTGAGGCCCAACATCATGGCAGAAGAGCATGGTGGAGGAAAACAGCTCAGGACATGTCAACCAAAAGCAGAGAGAAAGAGAGAGCTCCACTTACTAAGGACAAGATATAAAAGGCTATACCACCAGTGACCTTCTTCCTCTAGTCATACCCTATCTGCCTACAGTTACCACCCAATTAACCCATATCAGTGGATTAATCCACAGATTAGGATAGGACTCTCACAATCTAACTATTTCACCTCTGAAAATTCTTGCATTTTCTCACACATAAGCTTTTAGCAGACACCTCATATCTAAACCATAATGATCCTAAGAACTCATTGCTGTTTTTCTAACTTGGGATGCACTATCCCTTTGCACTGACTGTGTTTTCTGTTAAAGAGACATGGAGGCAAACTGCTGAAGCACTTTGAATTCTTGAATCCTCTGGTGATGAGTACATGTAGCCAACTCCTGGCAGTTCTGTCTAGATCCACCTTCCAGTTATCAACCAAGCTGGCATGTCCTCCTGGCAAGGAAAAAAGAAAGTCTCAAAGCAAAAACATTTAGTTCAGTGACCCTTAATTGATCAATGTCTGTTTTTTTATACAGAATAGAAGTTACAGTGACAGATTTCCAGGGACCTAGGCAATTCAGAGGCGGGGGCAGGAGGGGGAACTAATGAAGAACTATTTGTCTAAAGTCCAGAAAGTCTAGTTTACTAGGAATGAAGCATGCAATAGGATGCCCATTTTCCCAATGTATAGTAGCAAACTCTTAGACTTGTTGCTGATAAATGAAATTGATGAGAGCACAGATCAGAAATGTGTGGAAGTTTCAAATCATGCAAATTAGCAATATACATATACTACAAAATGTAACAGATAATAGTAATACAGATTTAGACTAAGGGGAAAATACCATTTTAAAATATCCTCTTGGTATGAGTATGCATGCTTGTACTGACACTAATGTCACATTGCTAACCCATTTAGTGTATCTCTATGTAGGAACACTTAATGCAATTAGTAGATTGTGTGTTTTGAGGTAATGTGATCCAGTATATGGAAAATATAAATGGAATTATGAAGAATGACAAACCTCTATACTGAATAATGTTTTACTACGTGCCACATACATATGTGTGTAGCTTTAATATTAAAAAATGGAGGGCATCCCTTTAAAACAAAATAAGATATAAATATAAGATGTATCATGAAACAGTCTGATTTTTTTTAAGAATTGACCAATCCTGATTCTGTAATTCAAAGGTGTCATGTGACTGTTGATCTGGAAATGTTATATTTTACTCTTGTTTAATCTAATAGCTTTCCAGCTTGCCTGAAGGTACCACCTGCAATATGAAAGTCATTACTTGGTAGAGTGCTTTGACACTACTTTGAGAATGAAAAATCTTTGAGAAAATAAACTGTATGCTATCATTCAGTTCATGCAACATAACTATAAGTCTCTGTACTATTATTATTGTTGTTTTCCAGCTCCTCTGACTGATAAGCCACCCAAGCTTTTGTATCCTATGGAAAGTAAACTGACAATTCAGGAGACCCAGCTGGGTGAGTAAATTCTTAATTCTAGTTAATACATTTTTTAGTATATTCTGACAGTTAATAAGTCTACATAGTTACCATGTGATACTCTGAGCTTAACTCATGGGTATTTAAAGAGGACAGAATTAGGAAGTGCCAGCACATGTGACATTCTGTTCTCTGCAAAGTACACCTTGAGACCAAAATGGATATATGTTATTTAGATGGTTATTGGGAAATGAAATAGGCTGATGATTTTAGCAATGATAGTATAGTGTAATGTTATAATGTTTGAATTATTTTTAAAATAGGCAATGTGGAACTATTTTATAATATCTATTAATATATTAACATGAATTTTCTGAAATTCAGAGAAAAGGATGGAAGTTCACTAAAGTAAATGTTACCATTATGGCAAAAAAAAAAAAAGCATTTTAAAAATCTAATGCAAGGGCTGGAATTGTGGCTCAGCAGTAGAGCTCTCGCCTAGGACCGGCGGGACCCGGGTTCCATTCTCAGCACCACATAAAAATAAAGGCATTGTGTTGTGTCCATCTACAAAAAAAAAGTTCATTCTCATTCTCTCTCTCTCTCTCTCTCTCTCTCTCTCTCTCTCTCTCTCAAAAAATCTAATGCAACATAATAGACATTGTGGTAATTGTTTTAGATAATATATTACTTAAATTTGATCAAGTGGCATTTGGTTAAGGAACTAGGGGATTTGGACATAAGGCCATGGACAAAATACTCTGTGATAAAAAATATTCAGTTATACATGAATTAGAATTCTAAAATACTTATCTTAGACAAAAGTATAGGACTTTTTAGTCACTTAGCTATATTCAGTTATACCAAATTGTGGAAAATTTTCCTTCTTAATTATAAATATCCATTATATTCTCTTAGGTTTTATTTTAAGTTGATATGTGGTATGTGTGTATATACACTTATATATATATATATATATTCTCCTCAAATGTCTATAGAAACTTTTCTACTTTACTCTTTCAAAAATGAAAATGTATTCAATGTAGCCCATCCCTTAAATTAAAATGTTATTATTGTTCATGGGGTGAGAAGTTGATGACAATTATAAATGTTTTCTGAATGAAGATTACAAAGTACAGATGTGATAATGTTTAGTAAAAACATATCTAAGTTATATTGCACAAAGATGTGATGATGGTTTTAGAACTTGTAAGCCTATATTAATGTATTCAATTGGTCCCCAACACTGGAAATATCTATGTTTGCTAATTTTGAGGGATGATCATATGCAGGATTTATATAGACTGAATATTAATATACTTTTTTAAATTCTTGTTTTTTAATATTTATTTTTTATTTGTACACAATACATTTATTTGGTTTATTTACTTCTATGTGGTGCTGAGGATCGAACCCAGGGCCTTGCACATGCTAGACGAGCGCTCTACCATTAAGCTACAACCCCAGCCCTTAATATACTTCTTTTATAGCAAATTCAAGCCTTTTGAATTAATATCATAAATATGCAAGTAGTATTATTCTTGATATTTTTAGATGAAAGACTATAGGTAGCATTAAAGCAATGCCATATATAAAATAAACATATTAAAATTGTATCTTACACTTTACTCACACTGTGATATTGATATTTTATTAAAAAATGAAATATAAATTCTCAAGAGTGGCCATGCTTATATAGCAATTTCAACAACTCTTTGGAAGATATATTTCTAAGAAGCTATGTGAAACTTAAACATCTTGGGCAAAGAAGAGGGAAAGTTATGGTGGTAGTAGTTATCTGTAATGGACATAATAAAAATGAAATTTTTATGTTTTTAATTGTATGTCTATATTTGACAGCATAATTAAAAAAATTTTATGGTTGATGGTTGCCCATGGATTTTTTTTATTGTCCCTGAATTTTGAATAAATCAAATTACTCTTTATCTTCTATTATAGTGCTTTGTAAAATACAATTGTAAAGCTATTTTTAAAATAGTACCTTTTCTTAAACAAAATCATAAAGACTACCCACATTATATTGAAAATTTCTTATGCAAATTGAATGATTTGACTATGTATTCATTTGAAGATGTATGGGCCTATCTATGAACAAAATGTTCAAGAAATATTCTAACTCCTTTATTGTCACTGAACAAAGGAACGTGGTTGTCTTTAACCACAACTAAAGACATCAACCTGGCATCTTGATTATTTTTTATTTTTTTATTTTTATTTTTGCAGGGGACAGGGTTTGTGGATTGAACCCAGGGGGTATTGACCACTAAGTCACATCCCCAGCTTTTTTTTTTTTTTCAATTTTGAGACAAGGTCTTGCTAATTTGCTTAGGACTTCCCTAAATTGCTGAGGCTGGCCTTTAATTTATAATCCTCCTGTCTCAGCTTCCTAAGCTGCTGGAATTACAAATATGCAATACAACACTTGGCACATCTTGATTATTTTAAACAATTTTCGTTTTGTTTCATTTTTTGATTCCAGTTCATAGTGCATCACCAGATAAATGACTTGCTAGTTAGAGAAATTTAACCATTATTAATCCTTGGATTTTTGAGTGACAGTTCATTTGAAATAATAGCCATGCTATTGTTGCTAGTAGATGAATTAACAACAAAAAATATAAGTCAAGATAAGGAAAGAGCATTAACCACAAAAAGATTTGAGGTACCTAAAATATACTTGTTTTCTCCAATATACACCTTGACTTTAACTTCCTTGAGGATAAAATTTTGCTCTTTCCAGATGTCAAAAAGCTATCATTCTCACAGGTTCTGAAGGATATGGAATATAGGTCCCAAGACATTTCCCCTATTTGCAGTAGTTCCCCCACCTGCCTTGTCTGGGGTAAAATTGAAGCTTTTGTCAATTAAAAGCACAGGCGCAGCCAGAGAGAAGGAACACAAAAGGAACTCACACCTGACTGGCACCTGACCCACCACTCTAATGTGTCAGCTGACTCCAATATAATAAGCCCCAGGAAATTCCCTATCCACACTCCTGTCCCACCCTTATGGATCAGCTGACTCCAATATAATGAACTCCAGGAACTACCATCCTGTCCAACCCTGAATGAAGCCTATTAAAAACTCAGACCTTTATTTAAGCCCATTACCATTTTCTGCCCCCCAAATGAGCCCCATCAACTGTTTGATGGATTGACTCTGCCTCTGAATAAAAAAGAGCTTGCTGATACAAGGTCTGCCTCCTGCCTCCATCATCTTGTGCTTACAGGTGCAATATGTGATATCAAATCCTAAGAAAGAGGGACTGATGCATAGTCATGGAGTGGCAGTAGGAGGATTGTATGTCTCAGAGACATGGACCTGTAAGTGGTGTCTCCCCTTATGAGTAGGTGAAAATCTCCAAGAGAATTTCAGTGGATAAGAAATCATGGATCTGTCTCAACCTGTTCCTAAATCTAAAGTTAACCTCAGAATATAATGAAACACCTGTATGAGTTATAACTTTAAAAATCCAGAAATATACAAAGCTGAGCTGGTACATGTCTGTTGATCTACCTTCTATATCCTTGCTAAATTACACATACATCCAAAAATCCCTAGTAAATTTAAGTCCATCAATTATCTGATTTCATCTCAAATGTATATAATTCATTATATAAACTTCAATAAAAGCACAGATTTCCTGGAATTACCCTTAATCTCCACATTCACATTTTTTTCAGTACTACAAATTGAGCTCACTCACCCCCTTTTTATTTATTTATTTATTTATTTATTTATTTATTTAGATAGTGTCTTGTTATGTTGCTCAGGCTGGTCTGGATCTTGTGATCTTCCTGCCTCAGCCTCCCAAACAGCTGAGATTGCAGGTGTGCTCCAACTACACCAGGTCCATATTCACTTTGTACTGCCATCTGCTGGCCATGCCAGCCTTTGCTTTGTTTTGCTTTTCAGTATCACTTGTATTTTCCTGTTCTAAATCCTTCATCTTCTCAAACTGGAATAGTCTGGTAGTATCATTTAAACTATTTCATTGTAGAAAACAAATGGCACTAAAAGGCCAAGTACTTAGGAAACAATATAATGGTAACTATATAAAATATGTAAAATTGGCAGGTTTGACATTTCCACTTTAAGTGGCATCTGTGTGTTATTTCTAAATGTGAAAAAAAGAACTTTGTTCTTTTTAGATAACTTTCAGGAATCAGCAAATATATGGACAGCACTTTCTTGGGCAAAAGGCCCAGAAATCACATTGCAGAATTCTGAAGGTCAATCCAAGAGGTAAATCTGACAGTATTTTTCAGGCTGCTGTATTCAAGAGAGTCAAAAGACAAACACAATTGACTTGCTGAGTGTGAGCTCTATAGATGTCATTCAGAGATCTGATCTGAATGTTATGTCCAGGAGCCCATTTTCAGAAGCTTCCAGATCAGAGAATGGCATATGCCATTGCTACCAGTTTTTGAAAGTGTAGAAATCCACCTTAGCTTTGACCTAAAGAGACTAATTATAGCTTACAACTCAGAATTTACTGAGAATTATAAGTAGATGTCAAACTTTACTTAAATTTTGTATTTTTCTCTAAAAAATAATTATGCAGGTTATTGGTAGAAATTTGGGTGAAATATCGAAAAGGATCTTGTTTTATAAACTCTAAACTGTATGCACATTTGGCTGCTTTTAAATATTCTCAGAAAACATCCTTTAATGGCTATATAATAACCAGATAAAGTCATACAATTTCATATGTATTTTTGTACATTTGTATTTTTTTAATTCTCATTATCACAAATAATGATGTGATGATCTTTACTTATGTATTATCCTTTTCACCTTATTCAACAGGACATATTTCTAAAGAAAAAAAGATTCTGGATAAAAGGAATAATTTTGTTAAAGGCGCTTACTACATAATTTTAGAATTCTTGCCAGAGAAAATTTTACACTCTTACCAAATATATATAATGAATATAGTAACATTTTAATATTTAATTAAATACCTTTACAGCACAGAGCTCTCTTTTCTTTGAAATCAAGATTGCTGTTCCCCTTTT